TACACGATCAACAGTAATTGATGGACGTTTTTTCATATCAACTGGTAAACCATTATGTAATACATGAATTTGATTTGGTCTTACATCAAGTGTACTAACAACTTTGAATTTAATTGAATCACCTTCTTGAACTCGTTGGGTATCTTCATAAAATGATGGTTGATCTAATTATAAATAGAGATAATACTTTTTTATAATCTAATATTAAACTTACATGAAATATTTTCTTGATCAGTAATATCTTCAATCATAACATTACTTAATCGTCTTTGTGCTGTTTGTGGTTTAAGTCTATTTTGATCATCATCAAATTCTGTAACAATATATGGTGTTGGTTGTTCATCAATTTGTATTTGTTCTCGTTCAATAACACGTATTAATGGTGTTCGAACAATTAAACCTTTAACTCTTAATTCATAATGTCCTGTATCGTTAGGTTTTAAATGTTCAATAATTAATGAATGTTTTCGTCCATTATTTTCAGTTAATATATGAACATTTGATGTTGATTGTAATGGTTGATTATTTTTAAACCATTGTGGTTGTTCACCTTTAGGTACTTGTGGAAATTCACATTCAAGTTCAAGACGTTCATCCGTATAAAAAACATCTTTTGGTAAATCCATATTTTGTATAACTAATGGTCGTGGTTCAACAATTAATTCAGCTAATGGTACCGATTGACCTTGTACAACAGCTGTATATAAACCATGATCAGGCATTTTAATATCTTCAATTTGTACTGTAATTGAATTTGTTTTATAATCTTTTGTCATATGAACATATGGTTCATGTGTTATTGGATTTTCTTCATGAAATAATTCGATTTTATTTAATGGTACATCAAAATTAGGTGCTAATTCAAATGTAACAGTATCTCCTAGAAGTAGAAGAAGAAAAGAAGTGTTTTTAAAAAAGAAATAATAAATAATATTTACCTTCATGAACAAGTTTTGAAGCCACTTGTGATCGTAATTGTTGAATATTTGGTGTTTGTTGATATGGAAGAACTTTAATAGGTGGTGTACGTAAAATAGTATTCGAATTTTTAAGTTCATAAACACCAGCATCAGTTAATTTTAAATTATGAATTATTAATAAATCATTTAATGAATCTTTTTGTATTTCAGTATGCTCATTTGGTATTATTAATTGATTATCTTTATACCATTTATAATCTTTATTTATATTTGGTTGAAGAAATTGACAATCAATTCTTAATGTTTCAGTTTCATTAAATGTATCTTGTGGTAAATCAATCATTTGTATTTGCATTTCACGTGGTTGAACATGAAGTGTTATTATTGGTTGAATATTACCATTGATTAATGCACTATAATCACCTGTATCACTTAAACGAGCATTGATTATATTTAAACGAACATCTTTAGGTCCATTTTGTTCAATTTTAAGATGTTTTAATGTTTCATTATCATATATTATTGGTTGACCATTTTTAAATAATTGTACATCATGAACTGTTATTGGAGTTTGTGAAGCTATTTTAAGTGTCACATTATCTCCTTCTTTAATAGTACAAGTTTTTGTATCAATTGGTTGTACAGGAGGATTTGGTGTAATTGTATATGTTACAGTTTCATCAACAATTTCAGTTACATCTTGTTCACGTTCAATAACATTTATAAATGGTGTACGAACAATTAATGGACCACTTTGAACTTCATAAATACCTACAAAATAAAATTTATAATGAAAATTTCTTGTTACAAATAATTTTAACTTACCAGCATCATCTAATCGTAAATCTCGTACGATCAAAGTAACTCGATTACCAACATTTTCAATAGTTACTCGATCATTATTTCTAAGTAGAATATTATCTTTCGTCCATCGTGGTAGTTCAGTTGGTTCATTTGTAAATTCTAAATCAAGTGTAACGGTATCACCAACAAAAAATGTATCTTGTTCAAGTTGCATTTCTTGAATTTCAGGTTGACGTGGTTCAACTTCAATTTGTGCTAATGGATGCATATCATTTTGTATTTGTACACTATATAAAGCTGAATCATCAAGTCCTAATGTTTGTAATATAATACGAAGTTTATCATCTTCACGTTTAATTAATATCTAAACAAATCGAAAACACTAAAATTAAAATAAAAATATATAAAAATTTTACTTTGGGTTTTTCTGATGGCATTATTTTTCTTCCATTTTTTAATAAATGTATATCTTGAGGTCGAATATTAGGTTGTAAACCTTCAACTGATAATGTAACTGTATCACCTTCACGAACATTTTGTATTGGTATATCTGGTTGTTGTTGTTTTGGTAAAACTTGAATCATCGGTGCTCGAGCAATAACTGAACCAATACGAACTTCATAAATACCTGAATCAGTACGTCTAGCATTTCGTATAATAATTGTTAATGTATTATTTTCATCAATCAATTGAATATTTTCATTTGGATGAATTAATTGTCCATCTTTAAACCAATTTGATGTTGGACCTGGTCGTTGCGGAAATGTACATGCTAAACGTATTGTTTCACCTTCTTCAAATATATTTCGATCTAATTCAAGTAGAAACACTTCTGGTTGACGTTCTTTAACATCAAGTAAACAAATCGGTGTACGTTGTCCTTGAATATCAATTTCATATAAACCACGATCATTTATTGCTAAATTTTTTAATTCTAATTTAAATTGATTACCATCAAATGATTTATGTATTTCAGGTTTATTTATTATTGGACGATTATCTTTTAAAACAGTTATTTGATCAAGTATATTTTCAGGTGAGATTTGTTGATCAATATTAACATCAATTTGAAGACTATCACCTTCAGTTACTGTACGTACAGGTGTTGGTTGAATAGGTTTTTCAATAATACGAATAAATGGAGTTTCAACAACAAGATAATCACTACGTAATTCATAAACACCTTCATCGCTAAAATCAACATTTTTTATTGTTAATGAATATTTTGTTGGACCATCTTGCATTTGACTTTCAATATTAACTAAATGACGATTTGATGATTGTATTGGACGACCATTTTTAAACCATGTTGGTTGAAGTTTTTTCGTTTTTATTGGTCGTTCAAATTTACATTCAAGTGTGATTGTTTCATGTAAATAAAATTCATCTTTAGGTAATGTTATTAATTGTCGTTGTATTGGACGTTTTTTAACAAATAAATCAAGTAAATCTTGTCGTGCTTGATTATTTATTTCAAGTGAATAAACACCTGAATCAGTTAAATCAACATCATTTAAATGTATAACCCATCGATTTAAATTTCCTATGGATGTATCACGTTCAAATTTAATACGTGAATAATCATTTATAGGATGATTATTTTTTAATAAACGAAATTGATTTGGTGAAAGTGATTGAATATTTGTATCAGGAGAAACTTCAATTGTTAAAGAATCACCTTAAAATAAATAGAAATTAATATAAAAAATATTTATAAACGTTAGAGATGTAGATCTCGGAGTGAGTTATTGTAATATATGAATTATATATGTATATATTTGACGTCAATGACTTAACCTATGGACGAATTCTCTTTAAAATTTGACATTTCGTATGAGCATTGGATATTATCAATACTTTTAGCCGTACCCCCCTACGGTAATGGTAAGAAATATGTGCGTCAAAGTCTCTTCTAGTCGGAATTTTAAAAAAGTGGGGCTTATAAGTCCCACTTGATATTTAAAGGGTTAAATAAATAAAAATTTCAACAAACCTTCCATAATTTCTTGTCGTTGAAGTGTAGTTAAAGGTTGTAAAAGTCGATCAGAATTTTCATCATCAGTTGATAATCCCGCATCATCAACAACTTCTAAATGACATGCACGATAAATAGGTCCTAATGAAATAACATATTTATTTGAATCTTCTTTTTGTACATCATGTATTAATAAACATTGCATTGAACCTTCAGATATAATTTCAAATTTATTATTTAAATTCGGTTGAATTTCTTTATTTTCAAGAAACCATTTAACAGGTACATTTGGTTTATTTAATGTACAACTAATTGTTGCAACAGGTCCATCTTCACGTCGTTTCCAAATCAGATAAGATTGTGGTCCATCAATAAATTGTGGTGCTGATTCTTGTATTTTAACATCCGAAACAGTTATTAAACGATCTTCAAGACGACATGTATATGTACCCGAATCAAATTTATTAATATTATTTATAATTAATGTACATGTTTCATCAGCATTGATAATCATTAATGAATTATTTGTTTCCAATGGAATATTTGATTGATCTTTAAACCATTGTACTTTTTTTGGTTTACGATTTGTTTCACATATTAATGTTAATGTATCATGTTCATTTAAACGTATTTGTTTTGGTAATGGTTGAATTAATTGTAATTCACGTTCAAGTATTTTAACTTGACATTGTGTTGCAATATTATTTGCATCAATTATACATGTATAGATACCTTCATGATCAAATTTTTGTGCTTTTTCAATTGATAAACGATGTTCATTGGTTGGTAATGAATCTAATTTTGGTTTTAAAGATAATTTATAACCATTTTTCATCCAACTAACATGTGTAGGTTTATTTGTACGTGTAACAAGAACAAAATTATCACCTTCTTCACATAAAAATACTTCTTCAAGTGGTTGAATAAAATCTAATGTTGATGGTGTTTGTAAAACTTGTAAATTAGCTGTTGATGATTGATCACTTTCAGGAAATGAAACTGTATATTGTCCTTGATCAGATAATTCAGGTTGATGAATAAATAATAAATGATGTGTATTATCATTTGATATTAATTCATATTTTGTTGTATTATCAAGTTGTCGATTATTAAAATACCATATTGGTTTTTTATCTGTTGGAGTTGTTTCAATATCAAATTGAACCTAAAAAGAAATGTATATTGATTTATATCTAATTACTATCTTTTATTTCAAACCTGTGGTTCTTGTCCTAGAATACATCGTTGTGGTTCAAGATGTTTTGTTATATTAACAAATTTATCTTTAACTTGAACATAACATGATGTTAAATCAAGTTTTGTATTTGTTGCTAAACGTAAACTATAATAAGCTTGATCATGTACTAATTGACAATCATTTATAATTAATGTTTGTTCATTTCCATGATGTATGAAACGATATTTTGGACTTGAATGAATTTCTTGACCATTTTTATACCATTTAACATCAGGTGCATCACCTTGAAATTGAACAATTAATGTACATGTATCATGTACATAAATATTTTGATCTTGTAATGGTTTGATTAAACGACGATCATTTTCACTCATTAAATTCATTGATACTTGACATTCACTTGTTATTTGACCTTTACCAATAACACAACGATATAAACCTTGATCATCAGATGCTAAATCATGTATTATTAAAGCAACAACATGATGTTCATTGGCAAGTTCATATTTTCGTGATGGAAATAATTCGATACCATTTTTTATACCACTGAATATGACTTGGTTTACGATTAAGTGTTGCATCAAGTGTTAATGATGTATCAGTTTGTGGAGAAAATTGAACATTTGATGGTAATGATTGAGTAAAACGAAATTCAGGTTCACGAACTGTTATATGACAAGTAGTTTCAAGACGATCACCAACAACACATCGATATTGACCACTATGTTCAGACTGTGCACGAGATATCTATTTAAAAAGAATTCAAATTTGTTATCTGTTCTATCACTATTACTATTTAATTATTTATTACATAGTGCAACACTTTGCATTAAAACAATCACGACAGAAAGTTTAATTTTCTTTCCTATCTCATGATTGTTACTCTTGTAGGTTTTTCGAAGCAGCAGGTATAGTATTGATCGGAATAGGCAAAATCTCAACAATTAACGTATACAATTCAGTCCAACAAACGGTTTCCTTTTTTTTTAAATGAAATGAATTGAGTTGCCCAGCTCTGAGTCATATGACTTCCGTTTTACTCCAAAGTATTCTCTTTTATATCAATGTCTTCAAATGATATATGAGCTATTCTAAAACTCCAGTTGCTTCCGTATATAAAATGACAGAGAGGTTGAGAACAAAGGCGAAAAAGTTAAAAAAATTTCTCTTATGTTCATAGAAAATTAATAAAATAGATATTCTATGACTCTATTCAGTAAAATAATTGATTTAACTTACTTGAAGTACATGTGTACATCCATCTGATATAGTTTTCATAACTTGATCAAATTGACTAATTTCTCTATTATCTTTAAACCATCGTATTTGATATGTTGGTCGATTTGTTCGACATTCAAGCATAAATGGTGAATCAACTTGAATATTTCCTGTATCATCATCTTCTAATAATTTAATAAATTTTAATGTTTTATCTTTATCATCTAATGTTAAATTAGCTGTTGTTATTGTATTATTTAAACAACATGTTATTGTACCAACATCAGATTCTTGTACATTAATTATTGTTAATTGTATTTCACGATCAATTAATTTTGTTTGATAACGTTCATTTATTGGTAATGGGTAACCATTTAAATACCATTGAACATTTTTTGGTGTTTTAGAACAGACACATGTAAACGTGACTGTATCACCTGAATGTACACGTTGATCTTGTAATGGTTTTAATATAAGTAATGGTTCAGGTGTAACATTAACATATGTTGTCGATTCAAGATCATTAACAATAACTGTATAAAGACCGGAATCTTCAGTACTTGCATCTTTAATAATTAATCGATGTTTTTTATTTTCTGACATTGGAAGAAATTTTTGAGGAATCTTAAATAAATGAAAAAAAGAAATATTATAGTTTGATTTATTTTTCAATCTTACTCGAATAATTTCATTATCTTTTTTCCATATCGCTTGTGTATCCATTTTATTCATTTCACATTCAATAATAATATCACGTCCACCAATAACATCAATTGATTGTGGTAAACGTCGAATAAATTGTAAATCTTCATTAGTTACTTGTACTTGTGCACGAGTCATAGCATTTTGTATACGACATATATATTCACCATTATCTTCAGATGTTGCATTTGGTATAATAAGTATATGTCGTGTACCCTGTGTTATCATATGATATTTTCCACTTTCATCAAGTTTTTTAGCTTGATTAGGTGCTGTTGAATAAATATCCGTTTTAAACCAAATAGCTTCACTTGCTGGTTGAGATGTTTCAACAACAAGTCGTAATGGTTTACCTTGTTCAACGCGTGTATCAACTAATGGTTGTGTTATTTGTACGATTGGTATTGTTTCAGTTACTTGTATACGTGATGTATTTAAACCATAAGGTTCTTCTCGATGAAATATTGGTGTTTGTTTATCATACGTTTCACTATCATAAAATTGTAAACGTTCTTCTGGAATAGATTCTTCACGATATGGTGCATGTTTTAATTCACGATGTGATAATGTTGGACTAAAAATAATAATAAAATATATAAAAGAAAAACTTTTTTTTGAAATGAAAATCTTTTACCTCATTGGTATTTGCATTTCAACGATTTTTCTTTCAACGGATTGTCGAGCTGGTGATCGACTTGGTGAAAATGTAACGGATGAACGATGTCGATGATGTTCATCTTGTTCTTCATAAACAGGTGGCATTTTTGTTGTTGGTGTTATATTTGCAAATGTCATATTTGTTTTACGTGTTGGTGATGGCGATGGAGATTTTGAACTACGATCAATATAATGTCCAAAATCTTGTAATTGATTTGATGATTTATATGTTGTTGATGGTGAAAAATGACGTGGCATTGATAAACGTTCTCGTTCAGGACTTGTACCTGATGAATAACCACTACGAATATATTCACGTTGTGGACTTGGACTTGAACTTGGACGAAATGTTGCCGAACCTATAAGAAATAAGAAAGAATAAAACAAGAATAAAAAATAAATAAATTAATATATCTGACTTGTTTTAGTTGCTGTTGATGGTAAACGTTGTTCACTTGTTTCTTGTATTGTAATTTTTTTAGTTCGTCGTGTTTCTTCAACACGTGGTGATTGTTGTCGTTCATTATCTTCAGCTAATGATGGAACATAACGACTATGTGTTGGACTCATACTTGAACGATATCCACCTAATTCAGGTGTTCGACTTGTACGTGGTGAATCAATTTTCATATATGAACCAAAACGTTCTTCACTACGTGGTGTTCGTTCACGATGATCAACTGTTCGAAGTGTTGTTGATGTTGAATGACCTTCTCGTGTTACACATGTATAAACACCTTCATCATGTTCATTAAATTGTTTAACAACTAATGTTGTATGTTTATCATCACCAAGTGTTCGAAATTTATTACTTGTTGCCATTAATGTCGTACCATCTTTAAGCCATTGAAAATATGTTGAATCAAATGTTTCACAATTAAGTATAGCATCTTGACCACGAACAATTTCCATAAATGGTTTTAATGGTGAATAGAATGCCGCTAAAAGAAATCAGATAAAAAATAAATTTTAATTTTACAATAAAATAAATTATTTTTACATTGTTGTTGAGCATCTTCAATAATTAATTGACATGTAGTGGAAACAGTTGGATGATTTACAATAGAACATAAAACTTCACCTTGATCACGTAATTCCAAATTATCAATATCAAGAGTATGTAATGTTGAATTATTAAAATTTCCTTAAAACGAAATATATTAATTTTAGAAAAAAAACATTTTGGTTTTTCTTACCTAGTGTATATTTATAACTATTCTCAATAATTTTCTTTCCACGATGCATCCATACAACTTGACAAGCATTACTTGTTTCACATGATAATTTAACTGTTTCACGTGTATTTGCACGTGCATCCATTAATGGTACAACAAATATTGGCATTAAAGATTCAACAGTTAATTTTGCTTGTGATGTATTTAATCCAGTTGATGCTGTATATTCTCCATCATCACGTAAATTAACATTATGTATTGTCAAACGATGTATAAGACCATTAGCAAATGATTCGATAATATATTTATCTGATGGAATTAAATGTTGAACATTTGCTTTAAACCATAACATTTGTTTTAATGGCTTATTAAGTTCACATTCAAAAATAGCACTATTTGATATTGTTGAAGAACTTTCTTCGACAATTTGTGAACGCAAAGGACGACGAAATATAATTGGTTGTTCTAAAACGAAAAGAAAATTTAAGGAAAAAGAGTTTTTTGCTTTAGTTAATACCTTTAACAAATAATTGTGCTGTTGAAGTATTTTTATTATCAACACGTATTGAATATTCTCCTTCATCATTCATTGCAACTTTAGGTAAAATTAATTGACGTATAAAACCATGTGATGCAATTAAATGATGTTGTGATGAAATTATTGGTTGTCCACGAAACCACCATTCAACTTGAGCATCTTCTTTTGTTAATTGACATTCAAAAAATGGCTTCGTTATTTTCCGTTACTTCAATATTTTCAAGTGGACGTACAAAATCAGCAGCAGGTCCTTTAAAAAAAACATAATTCATATTTTCCAGAAAACAAAATAAGATATTTTTCTTAAACACAAACCTTGAACATTCAAATGAAGTGTTACACGATATTTATCAGCTTGACAAACATAATCTCCTTGATCATCGGATGAAACATTTTTAACAATTAATTCTCGCTGTAAACCATCATCAATACGTTTATATTTTGTATTTTCATTTTGTTGTCCAATAAATAATGCTTGATCACCTTTATACCAATCAACATTTACATCCGAACGTTTAACTGCACATGCTAATTTAGCTGTACCATGTTCTTCTGTTGATACACGTGTTATAGGAATTGGAATAAAAACACTCTCACGTTCTATAAGAAATAAATAAAAGAAAGAAAGTTTATTTTTCTTAAACAAATATATATATAAAATAAATAAACAAACCAAGAATTTGTAGATTTGTTTTTGAATTTGCTGTACCATATTGATTTCGTACTGTAATTTCATATGCACCTGAATCTTGTGGTAAAGCATCAGATATAACTAATGAATAGTTTCCATTTTGATCATGAAATACTGAATAACGACCACCTGCTTGAATTTCTTGTCCATTTTTATACCTGAAAATAAAAAGAATTTGATATTCATATTCATTATTATATCTCTCAACAAACCAAGTAGCAGATGGCATAGGCGTTGCTGTGACAGTACATTTTAATGTAACAATATCACCAGCTTTAGATATCATTGGCATAAGTGATTGAAGAAAAATTGGTGCTCGACCAATATGTGGTGTTACTTTATATGCACCACCTTGATCATATGCCATTTCTGTAATACGTAATTCATCTTCATTATCAGTTGTTTCTAAATTGGAAAAAAATAAATATTTATTGAATAAATTTTATGTTTCTTACCTTTTTTCGATTCCGGCGATGAACCTTCTCGAATAACTAAATCTTCACGAATAGTTCGTTCATCACTCATTTCTAATTTTCAAATAATTATTTTTAAAAAAATCGGTTTTTTTTATTTTCTAAACTAACCTTCTTTGACGAATAATTTACAACTGCAAGTAACTGTTCCAGCATGATTTGAAATTTTTATCGAATAAATTCCTCCATCTTCAACAAAAGCTTCCTATAAAAACAAATTGATGAAAAATAATCTTAATCATATTTATACAAAAAAATATACTTTAATTATTAATTTAAAATGTTTATCTTCTTGTACTTGTCTACAATCAGCACTATCTTGTAAAGGTATATTATTTTTAAACCATGTAGCATGAACTGGTGTTGTACTAATAACTATACATTCTAATGTGACAAAATCACCCTCTATAATTAAACGAAAAAAAAAGAAATAAAATATCGATTGAATAGTTTTTTAATTTAACCTGTAGCTAATGAATCATTTAATTTTTTTAGAAATTTTGGTTTGAAATCATCGTTTTCTCCGGCAGTTTGATAACTTGATTCACTTTCACTTCCAACTGAATAAAAATCCGATGCTCCCGATGTTGTTGTATGTCCGGATGAACGACCACGTTTTTGTTGTTCGGACATCTTTAAAAATCAAAAAAAATTATTTTCTTAATTAACAAAAAAATTAATTTACTGATGATTCTAAAACATCCACTGTTCGTTTCTTTGTTGCTGGACGTTTTTGTCGTGTATCATCATCTCCTTCAGCTGTTTCAATCATTTCAATTTCTTCCACAAAACCTATTCGATAAAAATAACGATTATTTTTTTTTATTTCTTAAAGAAATCTATCTTACCAAGAGATTTAAGATTATCTCGTAAAGATCTTACTAATGATATTTTTGAAAAAGTATTTCGAGCATAAAATGTAACACGTTCATTATCATTAAATGTAATTTCAAATTTTTTATCATCATCAGGAAAATTTTCTTGTATAAAAGTTATTTCATTTGTCTAAACAAAAAATAATTTAAAAAAAAATGAATTTTCTGCGTTGAAATATTTACCTGATAAGCTTGTTTAAAAGCTAATGATTTTGGTTCTAATCTACTATCAACACGTTTACGTCGACATAAAATAATTTTATGACGATATAAATATAAGAATCTTTCACGTAAACGTGCACCATTTTCATTTATTGAATCAAGATCATGATCAGTTGTTTTAATTAAAACAACATCATGACGTTTTAAATCTCCTAATTCATCATTTGTAAATGGTAAATTATCAATAAGTTCAGTTGCATCACGTTGACGTGCTTCATTCATTACATTGCTTATCATTGTATAAGCTTGTTGAAATACTGAACTATCCTCTCGCATACGATTTGTATATTTAATCATTTCCTATTTAGATAGAAGAAAATAAATAAATTAACAGAAAAACTTCTTTTTGTCTTACTTGTAAAATATTCTTATATTTTTCAAGTCGTTGTATAGGACGATTAAGTAAATTATTAAGTGTTAAATCACTTGTTTGTATACCTAATCGTTGTTTTAATTCATCGAAATAACGTTGAATATTTGGATTTGTTTGTAGTACATGTTCAGATCGTGTACGATCATACATATACTGAGAATAAAGATTTAAAAATTGATCTCGTCGACGTAAAAATACATAAGCCAATTCATTTGGATCATGTTCAATAGCATTAGTTAAATCGTTTAAGAATAATCTTTAAATACACACATATATATATAGAAAGATTTATTTTATTTTATTTTATACGTACACTTTATGGAATGCGAATATGTCTTCAATGTTGCTGAAAAGAAGATCTTTTTTTTTCTTTGACGAACCACGGACATTCTTGACGAGTTAACTCATATAGATAAATTTCAATAATACGTTGAAGATCAGCAACATATGAACGTTCGCTTTCGAGAATGTCAGCGAAGGCATATCTTAATAAAACAATAATATTAGACATTGACAAAAAAAATGATCATCTTTCCGATAATTAATGATTAATTTCTACTATCATATTATATTTACGAAATATTTTCTTAACTCTCTATGTATTCTTTTTTTTGTTTATTGATTGCAGTAGTTTTTGTTATTTTCAATGTAAAGATATTATTAAATGTTTGTCTTATCAGATATAATGATATATAGAAAATCCCTTAAGGATAAAAGAAGACATGTTTATTTTATTCGTTAATGACGACAAGAATTGTTTTAATTAGAAAAATCTTATCTTTTTTCTTTTTGATCTATATAGATCGAAAAATATTTTTAAATAATATGAAAACGACAAAAAAATATTATTTTATATATATATGAAAACGACAAAAAAATATTATTTTATATATATATGAAAGTAATATTTTTAGATTTTAATTCGATTCTCTTTTTTCTTTGTGTTTCGATTGATTGGTAATTCAATATATGATATTAGTGAAGTAGGTTATCATAAGAACTTTGTCTAACTATTCTATTAGTAACCTTGATCAATCCATCAAAACAAACATCTAACTTTCTTATGTAATATAGCTTAATATTGATGCTTATCTATTGAGCTTAAACGTTCAGATTATTAATTAATTATCTATCTATCTTACAAAATCATTTTTTAGACAAATAAATTAGTATTTTACCTTCGCTTAATAACAGCCTCGTCTTGTCGACTAGTATTTGTAGTACTTGGTACGGTTTGATCGCCTGGTTGAACTTCACGTGTGCTGCGTCGATTAATCTGCAATAGACGTGATTGTCGTTGATTATCATATTCATTAGTATCATGAAAATGATGTGGTTGATAGGGATGTCGTTGTTGTTGCTGCTGCTGATATCGTGATTGTGGTGATTGTGGATGCTGATGTACATATATCTCAATACCTGTTGGACTACCTCGTTCTATTTCATCTCTTATCGAATGTGCACTAGAATAATATTCTTGATGCCCTTTTGGAGGAAAATTTGATGATTGTCGACGACTCATACGATGTCGATATGATGGTTGACGATAACGGCGACAATTTATACAAGGACAATATTCACAATAATTTCGATATTCACAAGGTGATTCAGTACGTGTATAACTATGATACTCGTGAGTTGTTACAATATGTCTTTGTTCGCTTACACTACGTCGATAACGATCACGGTCGAATACGAATGACGATAGATTTGCTAGATTCCACGTTGGCGACGACATTAATATAGATTATAAGATGAAAAAATTTCCGAATATGGACTGTTTTGCTATTTTGGTTTTTTTCTATTTTTTTTGTGTCTTCAATATAATTATTTTATCTTCATAAGATGACAACGACAAAAAATGAAGACGACAGGCGAATATTAGTGATAACCACCCTCTCTTTTCCCTAGTCGATTTATACAGATGCTTCTTGCTTGCGTAACTTCACAATGACGAGAACGATAATCAAGCGAGGATATATGTTTCAGACAAGAAGACCCATAAAAAAATATAAGAGCGAGAAAAGAAAAAGAGAAAGCTATATCAGGTATAAGAACAACAACATCAATAACAACACCAGGCACATCATTTCATACCAACATCTTTGTCACATCATCGGCTGTCTCGGTAGCTTTTCATTCTCTTCTCTGCTTCCTATTAATAATAATACGGTTGCTTCTCGCTTTTTTTTTCTTCTTTATTTCTTATTAAGAGATAGAGAGGAGCAGGTTGGTTATACATCCGTCATGTACAATAATGAGAGGGAAAGAAAATCATCGTTCGTCTCTTTTCTTAGTAAATGCCTGAAGAAAATGTCATGTTTCCTTCTCGATTTCTATTCTGTCGCTTCCACTTGTTGTTTATCATCTAATCGAGTCGAAGGAGAAAGATAAATATGTGATGAAACATACATCAACGAGAGGCTATTGATCCATTATTTTTCTAACGCTCACGTACCATATCATTTATGTATATATATATATATATATATTTATATTTACATATTGCGCGCTAAATATCGACGAGAAAAAGTGGCGCTTAGTATAGTGTCCATACGCTTCTTTTCTCCGATTTGATGAGAATCGTTTTACCATTATTATACAGTAAGAATGTGAATGTAGCATCAGCATCAGCAACAACAGCAGCAGCAGCAACAGCAACGACGGCAACATCAGTAGTGATATGCGTAAGTAATGAAATAAACAAGATGAAATTTATATTTACTCACCTGTCCTATATTTGTTGATTTCTTTTCGAGAAAACATGCTTCAACCCAACCTATTTTTGGTCGTTCATCTTTTCGAGGTCGAGTACGAACAAGATATTGTGCGGGATCATGTGAATCAAGCACATCGACAAGTTGATTTTCAGCTAGTGCTATTCCATCAGGACGTATAGGGACATAATCAGAATTAGCATAATATACTTCCGCTTCCTAAAACAAAACGTTCATAAATCGATTTATTTGAGTCATAATATTCATTTAAGATTATAATTTGTATATATATATATTAGATTACTGTATAAATAATGACTCATTAGTTAGGTGTTTTTCAGATGTAGGCGGGTTGTATCCTTGATGATTTGGCATCTTATACATCAGCATCTAATTAATTGTCAACTAGTAGATTTTCTTGACTGCTGTTATCTTTTATTTCCGCCTCTATTTTTGTATCTCTCTCGTCAATAAGAATTGACATGACAAGACAGAAAATACTATTACTAGCTATACATTTTATATTATTTTTGGCCTTATCTTTAAGATAATATATTTTAATAAATATCTATATTTATATACATGAAAAAATCTAATAACAAACCTCTGTCATTGTTTTTAAATCATCACTACTAGATGATGAATCTTGTTCTTCTTGATTAAGTGGATTGTATCGTTTGTCGATATTGCTAGTCACTACACCGGACTTTTTTGTAAATATTCGTTTGCTAGGTACAACTAAAAATGAAATAAGAAGAATATTGACTTGAGTATTTGTTAATAAAACTTAGCAGAAAAAATCTTAACATAGAATATTTTCTTATAGTATCGATAGATATCGCTATATCATGGTTATAGAGTATATTCAGGTACAATGAGAACCAGATGATGGATAAAAGTTCTCATATAATGAAAAATGATAGTTGTCTGACATTAACATCGACAATGATTTATTAGTTCTTTATAATCTTTTTTAAACTATACATAGACTATTACAGCTGAAAGGTGGTGGTTTATCTAACTCGGATTCAAAGTTCATGTGAAGATATTAATTTCTTTTTATAATAGAAAAAGATTATTCTTATATTGATACTCTTGAGGAATTTTATAATAACTTATTATTGTAATTAAAAATAATTAGATTAGAAATAGGACTCAAAAGACGAAAGATTTCTATCGGACATAAGAGAATTATTTATCACGATGGATATTCTATCTTATAGATAATCACAATTTATATAATAAAAATATTTTTATTTTAGATTTAAAATAAATGCTCTCGACAAAAATTCTCTCAATCAAATACAATACAATATTTATTTCTAAACTTAAGTATATTAATAAGAAAAAAAGAACAAAGTTTTCGAATTTCTAATAAATTAGTGAATATGTTTTCTAATCAATCGGCTATATTGAATAGAATAATATCGTAATAGTGTTCATCTATAGAAAAGTTTTACGTAAGTTGTTTATGTTAAACTATCCAACATAATCTCAGTAGAAGAATTTCTGAACGATTTCATATAATCATCGACAAAAGAACAATTCCATTAACAAGTATTGTCCTTTACATATTCACTAATTTATTAGAAATATTTTCCGATTAATTTAATAATTAATTACTTGTTCATTCCTTCTTATTATTGTGATTTCCTATATATAAATGATGATTTGTCAATATTTAAATCTTCTGATGATTTATAATGCAATCAATTTTAAGTATACTAAGATATCTTAAAAAATATGTAATATTATGTTAACTAAAATAAACATTTCGTTTCTGTCAACAATCCATTATGCACTTAGGTAACCTTTGCCAAGGCAGAAACTTCTGGTTTATCATAAAATTAACAGATGTTAGCAAGTTTTTTTTCTTCTTATGAAAAATAAACAATACTTATTCAGAAGTATATGGTTTAAAAATGAACTTAAAAGAGAAAAGAACAAGGATATGTTGTTTGAGCAATCAATTCATCTCTGTACTCTATGACCAAAGGATAACAGCTGTCTCATTATTCTTATAATTATATCAACATGAAATCAAATGATTTTGTTAGTTATACTTACTAAAAAAAAGAATATTAGGTTTTTTTTTCTTGAAAAATTCATAACAATTACCTGTCTGTCAATTACATCTATTCTCTATAACAATATTCCCATACAAAGAAACAAAAATTGATGAAGAAAAATGCTATAATAAGAACACTACGCGTTTCTATGTCAGTCTTAGAATATGTATAATATATAGTCTTGACACTGATTGTTGTTCTCAACATATGAAACAAAAGCCCATCTATATTCAGCTATTTATCTACGTCTTGTCTTCCTATATATCTATTTCATACTCTTGTTAATATGATAAGTCTAATAAATACTTATTTCTTTAACTGGAAATCAATATCCTATTATAAATATTTAAATATTTTATTTATTCTTTTGCTTATTTATTGATTAGGTAGTTTATTAAAATAAAATCAATGAATATCTTTTAGCCTTTTTTTGTCTATTTTATCTAGAAGAATAACTATTTACTATATTGGCATAGAATCGATAAGAACTTACCCTTTTGTTATCTGCTTATCCGTAAAGGGAACAGAGAAAAAAGAAGAAAAAAAAAGTTGATCGACCGAGAAGACGATGATATAGATAGTTGAAGGCAAATATATGTACTGTAGCCTTTTTTTTTTGTTTCTAGATGCTTTTCGACGTTCGTCAAACAGGCATAAAAGGCAACCGACACGCGTACTCAATTACTAAAGACAAAAAACGTCAACTAGAAATTCGACGAGAAACAGCAATGAAAAAACAATAAGATATCCGTCAATTTATAGGGATTAGAAACTGTTTCTATTGCTATCCTTGATGAAAAAGAACACATATATAGAAAATACAGAAAGAAACAAATGCTAGTTATCTACACCCATTTTCTTTGTGGTACCCGTACATTTCCTTTTCTTTTTTTCTTCTTATGTTACATATATATATATGTATGTATGTATATGTACGTACGATCTACCAAAGAGTAGGAAGCGAAAGCGAGACCAATGACTAATTTCTTTTTTTTTTTCTCTTCATATACATCGATGATTGTAATGGGTTTATAAGGAAACAACAACAACAACAACAATAACGACATCGGGCACTACTATATGTGTTAACGGCATGGATACTGAGGTTAAATGAGAGTAAGAAAAAAGCAAAACAGCGGTACTAATATCTTGTCTATTCCTTTTTTTTTCTTCTTTGCTTCCTTATTGTATGTGTCTATGATGAGCATTTTTCTATTTCCTTATGATAAGAAATACGTGGGTGGGTCAAGATAAATGGGTATATATATGTAGGCAGAAGGTTTTTTTGATTTTTGCTAGAATTTTCTATTAATCATAAAATGAATAAATATGTCAATGTATAAGAAAAAAAACATTTCTTTGTCTTTTCTTGATTAGATAAAAGTTAATAACTGAAAACTAATCTCTTTTTATTGTCAATCTAATTAAGACAGATGAGGAAATAAACGAAAATTTCGAAAATTATTTTAGAAAAAGTAACCTTGTAAATTATTCGTGTCTATGTAAAATAACTAATAATAATATGGACCAACTAACATAGCAAAGAATAATATCTTAATTTTTTCTAGTTTGTTCTATTAACAACAATAAACAAGAATAAGAAGAACAGAACAAAAATTTTCTATGGTCTAATAAATATCATATGTGCTAAAAGAATGTCTTTGGGAAGATCAAACTACAAAAGAATATCAGCTATGATTACTTTTATTTATCTTAACAATAGGAATGTATTCAAAAGTATCATTTGAATTTTTACTTACTTGGTTGAATGGTATCGAGATTAGCTAAATTTGATAGCGTTGGACTCATATCAATATCAGGTACCATTTCAAGAAATTCTGGAGGTACATAACAAATCTATAGAAATAAAAAAATATTTAAATTATTCTGTACAAACAGAAGCACTCGAAGCTATATCAATGTCTGGAAATCTCAATGGTATAGAAATTAAT